ATGGATATGCGGAGCAGATTATTCTTTTGTTGCATGTCCACCATAAAAAATGCTTTGAGTTATTATTCTTCTACCAACCTTTTTAATCTCCTGAATGTTGACCTTTTGTTACAGGGCCTTCCTGGGGCTCTAAGCAGCAACTGGTGAGCAGATTCAGACTCCGCATCACTGTTGATCTAATGGATGCCGGGACCTCTCTGCATCAGTTTTTCAGCCGTTCTACAGGACCATTTCCCTCTGCAGCCACATCGTTTCTTACTTTCTTTGCTTTTAGTGAAGTGGAGCGTTCTGTAATCAGTGCCAGTAGAACTTCTGATCATTTTCAGGCTTTCCTTTGGTGATAATCCGGTTTAAAACATCTGTGTTTAGCTTATTTTGTGTTGGTATTCTAGCTGTTATATCTCAGAAGGCATTTTGAAGCATATTTATCCACTGCCAGATTTTATTTCTTGTTTCATAATACAGTAGGAAGTATAAAGGAATCTCAGACATATAATAGAAAGGATTATTTAAAATAACATAAAATTGCTATTTAGTGCAAATTTAAAATGAGTGAGAAAAATCTTTTTTTTTTAATCTAAGGAGAAAATATGCACTTTTATTCTGACATGCATCCACTTATTTACACAAATGCCTTACATTTCTGTTTCACTCTACTTTTAAATCTGTTTATGCTGACAAATAATGGATTTTTCAACAGTTGGTGTTTTACCGTGCTTTATTTTAAGTGGAGCAGGGACTGAGCGCCTGATGGATGTTCATGGCTTTTTCTAAAGTCTTCTGTGAAGAGTAACGCTGTATTCTGCTGATATGTGATTTCAATAAATGTTGCAGAAAAATCAGCTCTCACATCATGTTCGTGAAGACTCCTCAGCTCCTCCTTACGTGGCACCCTTTATATATGCTGAGTCACTTCCTGACTGCCCTACAAGCTGTTACAATTGGCATCAACTTGATATTTAATATTTTATTATTTTAGTAAATGAGTCATAACTTGCCATTTTACTCCTTCTAAAATGGTCTTTAAATTCCTGTTTTATTAGAAAAAAAGCTCATTTATAGCTTTTTATTTTCTCGCCAGGGTTTCACTTGTGTTTAGTCATGTGGATGTAGCTTTAGAGCATTAGCAGTTTGCAGGGGTTAGTATGGAGGACCAGAGGTGTCAGTATAAAAAAACCCAATGTCAGATTAAATCATATATTTAGAAATCCCATTTGAAAAGTGTTTCATAATCGCACATTTTAAATTAAATTATAAATGAGGACTTTTACGGTGTATTTATTAATCCATGAAATAAATACTGCAATTTGACTATTTTTCAAATTCTAAAGGGAGATTAAAAGGAAAATAATGAAACCTTTCCTCATCAGACATTTTAAAAGAAATATCCTTTTTCTATTTTCTTTTTCAGTTTGCATTTTCAAATTCTTTTTTGTTATTTCATTTTTATTTATTTATTTTTTAGGATTTCCCTGAACCAACAAGAACTTAAAACCATTTTAGTAAA